GAAAGCAGTATGGAGATTCCCTGGAAAACTTGGAATGGAACCACCATTTGATCCAGCTATCCCACTCCTCCGTCTATACTCAGCATAATATAAAATCAGCATACTATAGTAACACAGTCACATCAATGTTTATAGCAGCTCAATTCACAGTAGCTAAACTGTGGAAGCAATCTAGATGCCCTCCAAAAAAATTATGGCATTTGCAGATAAATGAATGGAATTGGAAACTATCATGCTAAGCAAATAAGCCAATCCCCAAAACCAAAGGCCGAATGTTCTCTCTGATATGTGGATGCTGATCCATAATGAAGAAGGGGCATGGGGAAAATGGAGTAACTGTGATTCGGCAAAGGTGAGGGAGGGGTAGGGAAGTGGGGGTGGGGGCAGGAAAGATGGTGGAATGAGTGGACGTTACCCTAGGTACATGCATGACTGCATATATGGTGCAACGCTACATTGTGTACAACCAAATAAATGAAAAGTTGTGCTACAATTGTGTACAATCAATCAAAATGCATTCTGTCATATATACTTAATTAGAATAAATAAAATAAATAGAAATGACAAACCAAACCAAGGTAGGAAAGGCTCACACCTACCAAGGCAGGAAACACATTTCCCTGATCACCATGCCTCCTTCTTCAAAACCACCCTCCCCACCAGCAGGGAGCAGGCAAGAACATAAGGAATCTGGGCAAGAAGAGAGCTCCACTTTGAAATGAGGTGCCATCTCTCAGCCTCAGGCATCCCTGCAGAATGGAAACCATGGTGGCCTTCCCTATGGGGACTTGAATACACTTGGGGTGGGATGCTTTTCATCATACACATTTCATATACATAAATGAATAAATGAGTCACAGAAAAATATCCTCTATGTTTCACACTGATCTCATCTTCTCAGAAAGAGGCTTTGTTCCTTTAGGATTAGAATTAAAAGTTGGGTTCCAAGCAAAGGATAAGGGTTTTGAATCAGTGATAAACCGAGCTCCCAATGTGCACTTTATCTAATGCACAATGCAGGGGGAGTTTTGATAGTCTCTGAACAAAAAAATAAAAGTTTATTGTAAATCACACATGATGGGGGCACAGTTGGTAATCAGAGGCCTAAGTTCTTTTCCTATGTGTTCTACTTTTCCTCCTTTACTTTTGGAGCCCACGTGCTTACAGTGCCAGCGGGAGCCACCTGGCTCTGAAGATATCCTCCCAGCCAGGCCCAAGAGTTAAATAAGACAAGCCACGGAAGGAATGCTCTCCCATATGCCTCCCCTCACCACACTAAAGCCCTCTGTTTAACTTAATATTTACAAAGCGCTGACTACACAGTAACCACAGATACAACGTTAAGGTTTTCCTTTATCCTTCCCGTCTTAAAAATCAAACTCAGTATCATAAAACTGCAGGGCAGATCAGTAGAGCAGAAGAAGGAGACTGAGTGTGAGGGAGGAGGGAGGACAGAAAATGGGCAGGAATATGGATTAATTTACCAAAATCACATTATAAGCACATACAAATATACTAAGGAGAACTTCACCTCTATATACATGTAGAGAGTACCAATCAAAAATAAATGAACAAACAAGCAAAAGGAAAATCGGTAGAGGAGGGAGAATAGGGGGAGGGAGGTGGGGTGGGAAAGACGGGGGAAGAGGGATTGAAATCAAATTCTATTCATGCATGATTTTGTCAAAATGAATCCAACTACTGTGTATAATAATGTATAATAATGTTCTAATTTAGAAAAACACAAAAAGCTAAGCAGTTAGCAATGCTTGAATTCTGCAGCTATTTAGATAAAATAATTTCAAATACTAAAAAAAAAATTTTGATCTCAGGGGACACAGAGTACGCGGATGGGAGCACATATATACCAGACCACATCTGCGCACCAGACCACGTGTGCTCCTCTGTGGCACTTCAGAAGGCCTCTCACAGGCTGAGGTGCACTGCAAGCTCCCAAGTGGAAACTTCATCAAACTGATTTGAACCTACCTTAGAAACAGGAAACAGAGCATGGCGCTGTGGGTGGGTGGAGGTGAGAGGCAGGAGAGAGAAACCACAGGGCGGGAAGAGGCTTTGAGGGATCATGACTATGTCCATGGTCCTGACTGTGTTGATGATGTCACAGGTGTGTGTGTGAACTGGGTCATCAACTGTATGCTTTAATTACCTGCAGTGCATTATGCCTCAATTAATCTGTTCTTTAAAAGTATATAAAGATAACACAGAAGCCAATAACATGCATCAGTGGAATTTTGTAAACTGAGGCTTCGCATAAGAGGGAGACCTCTGCAATAAAGTAGGACCAGCCAGGAAAGAGGAAATGAGCTCTGAGCATCCTTACTAAGGCGCTCGTCATCAATCCTCATTAAGGCTGCCAGGACACTGTGTGCTGAAGTTCTACTTCCTCCCGAATAATGATACGCATTTCTATTCGGCAAAGCTTCCCAGAACAGGATAATTTAATTTGTTTACCGGGAGACCAGGGGTGCGATTTTAATTTGCTAACAGCTAATGTTTGAAAGACTTCCTCATAAACAAAACAAAAGGTTAAGGTTGGTACATCTTCCAAGTAAATGCAGCAGCTGAACAATGAACACAAGTAGATGGTATCAGTCCTCCCTCAGCCAGACTTGCAAGATAACCCAGCTCCCCTCCCACTCCCTTGAGGAACACCGTGAGCATCAGAGCTGACCAAAGAGACCATAAAGCCCCTGCAACCAAGGCATCGGAGGCTCAACCCGATCGGAAGATAACCCACCCAAGGCAAGAAGAGGTGGCTTTGCGCTATTCAAGGTTGAGACTGACCTTAAACTGGTCGACTTTCTCAAGCTTTTCCAAATCAGGTACCAGTCTCACTCCATCTTCTAGGGTTTTAAGGAATTCTACTTGAAACTCTACCATTTCGGTTAAATTTCCAAAGAGCACGTCAAGCTGAAAAATTTTAAAAATAAAGTTTTGATCCACCCATGTTTTATAAATGTTCATAAACTTCTTTTGTATCCTATCACAAAGTTTTTCTATGGACACTTAGCAATTAGAATAATGACCCCCCCACACAGATATTGAAGTTTTGAGATAAGACTAGATTCCTTGCTTCGCCAGTTTCCTTCTGGGTTCTTGTCTTGCAAATTTTGAAGAATAAAATCCACAGACAACACAGAAGGGAATAGTAACGGAGTAGGATTTATTTAAACAAGAAGAGGAAACTCCCATCATGCAGGAGGGGGTCTGATGGAAGAAAAATCCATTTTGGTGTGCTAGTTTAGGAGTTTATATAAGGTTCTGGGTACAGCATGGAGTCAATCTATGTTAAACAGGTATTGGAGACAGCACCCAAATCATTGCCCAAAGTCTATGTTAAACAGGCACTGAAAACAGCACCAAGGCTAACACGCCTTTGAGTTTTAATTCTTTCTATCAACTTCCATCTGGATTTACTCCACCTTCCTGTTTTCCCTCCTGTGGGATCTTGATGTTGGCTGGAGGCATTCCCACAGGTGAGCCTCATGGCCATTTTCAGTGGAAATAGGCCTTGATAGTGTTTATTAACATTTCCACTGGTTAGTCTCCAGCTGTGGTTCTTGCATTTGAACAAGACTGACCATTGGTATTTCTCACTACTACCAGAGGCTACGGCAGCTCCTTACCCTCCAAGTGCAAGCCAATGTTAACAGGCAATATTTGATCCAGCTATCACAACTAAATGAATTCAAAATGCTTTGAGTACCGTGTGGGTTCCCTGTTCCTTCCTCTTTACTGGCAAGTCAATCTACAGTGAGAAGCTCCATCAAGTTAACAGGATTTTCACCATACCTCATCTTGGGTGAGAAAAGTCTCCTTTTGAAGAGGTTTCAGGTATCTTTCCATAAGACAGTTTAAGTCCTAAAAGTTGAAAGGAGACCTAATTAGCACATTTAAAAGTGTAAAGAACATAGAGGAGAAAAACAGATGTTGTTCCAAATGCTGACATGACAGTGATTAAGGTCCCCGAACTCAGGAGTAAGCCAAGCTCTTCTGTCAGCCATGGTCTCTGCTGTAACTAACATCGTACCCCGAGAGCAGGCATGAATGACATGTGAGACATGAGCATGGCTGTGTTCCAATAAAACTTGATATGCAAAAACAGGCAGCAGGCTGCATTTGGCCAAAGGGCCATAATTTGCTGATTCCTGATTTCATTACAATGCAGATAAATAAAAACAGATCACACTGCTTTCCAATGGGGAATGCAAAGGAACGTCAGAAAGTGTGAATACAAAGAACACAGACCTGAACCCTTCTACCCAGACTCAAATAGACTCTGAAGATGATGCCCTCAAATTTTTGAAAGACAAAATTCAGTTTTAGTATTAGCTGTACAATGTTTAGAAAGGTCAGAAGGGTCATATGCACTAACATAACCTTTCTTGGGTAATCAATTATATATATACATATATGTAAATTGCTGTAAGAATTGATATGCTTCCTTAAAACTCAACGGGCATCTCAACATTCAGAATAAAGGCCAAATTCCAAAGGACAGTCCCAATGCTCCAGATGCCCACAGTTGCACCTCATCCCCCAAGGGCGGCGCAGACACCCCGATTCCATTCTCTGAAGAGGAGGAGGGAGGGCAGGACATACTTTCACGTAGGTGCGCTCTGTCTCCAAGAGCTCGCAGATCACCTTGCGCAGTTTATCCGCGTCTGACAGCTGCCTCATGGTGGCCAGCTGAGGCCCCGTGGTGTCCTGAGGAGACGGGCTGGGGTCTGAAGGGTTCATCTCATGCAAACTGCGGCAAAACGCGGCCACCTGTTCTGTGCTCTTCAGAGCAGAATGGAGAAAGCAAGGCAGATGCAGTTTAGCCTTCGTTCGAGAACCGTGCCTGGCACCTGTCCCTCCTGGAGGCGTTTCTTCCTGGTTAACGAACTGTCACATATGAATTACATCTCATTTCCCAAATTGCTCCACATATACAAGAGCACATGGATCGCTGAAAACAACCATAACAACAAGGGCTAACATATATTGAGTGCTCATGGCAGGTCACACACTGATCTGATGCACTTAATCTTCCCACCTGCTGGGCAAGGGCTATCATCATTCATTCCAATTTAACAGCTGGGAAAAAGAAGGCCCAGAGAGGTTAAGTAACTCATCTGAGATGACACAGCTAGTAAGTGGAAAAGCTGCGATTTGAACCAGTGTGTCTGTTTTAGAAACCTGTATGATTTGCGGGTGATGGGGAAGGGGTTCTGGGACTATGAACTGAGACCAGGGTCTGGCATGCTAGTAAAGTGCTCAATCACTGAACTACAAAGTCAACCCAAAGCCTGCCATCTTTTTTTCTTTCTTTCTTTTTATAATACCTTTATTTAATTTATTTTTAGAGTGGTGCCAAAGATGGAACCCAGTGCTTCATGCATGGTAGGCAAGCGTTCTACCACTGAGCTACGACTCCAGCCCCCAAAGCCTGAGATCTTAACCATTCCAGAAGAAGCTGATAAATCAGGAGACACAGAAGTTATCCACAACTCACGCAACATACAATTCAATTAATTACCAGACTCACTTCATTACACAATCTGCTTACTTTACAATGTTGGAAAACAATTTCTTCCCATCTCCATTAAAAACTGGCTCTGAGGCGACTCTAGAGTAAGGCAGATACCCATCCATTAAAAAAAGAAAAATATGTTTCTCTCTCTCTTTCTAGATTCTCCAAAGGCAGAAAGGTATCACCACCCCACACAGACCTCGGTGGCAGATCCCGTTGCCCAGTCCCCAACCGTAGAAGGTAATGATTCAGGTTAAGTCTGTGCAAGATTTTGTTATCAAGTTGAAGTTTAGGATTCTGAAATTCCAACCTGTCTAGTGATACAAAACAGTTCTAAGCTTGGGCTGCTGCAAAACCAGTGTGGGCAGCCATTCTCTCCTTTGGGGGGCACTGGGGTAACTTGGGGAGCTCTCAGGCATCCCCCTGCCAGGTGCACCCTCAGAATCATTTTAATCAGAATCTCTGCAGTGGATGCGCACCTATTGCCCCAGAAGCTATTTTGAAGCATAAAACTAGTCTATTTGTCCAAATGCACCATTCTATGTTGGATGGATGCCTCTTTGAGGGCAGCAGCTGCCTTTTGTACTTCTCCATGCTGCTTCTACTGGCTAATTCAACCCTAGGTACAAAGCACGCATTTCCTGCAAAGAAGGGCGCAGGTAAAGAATTCCTTCTCTATCACCCAGGAAGAACATGAGCATCCTCCCCCCCAAACTGGTTCACAGAGCTGAAGGTCAAGGCTGGCCTTCTGTGCAGGGCAGGGAAGGAAAGCTAAAGCCACGTGCATTCCAAGGGCAATTTTTAAACACAGAGGAAGGCAGGTAGCAGTAGGAGGCCATTCCCTCATTAGCATATGCAAACCAGAGTACAGACAGAACAAAACAGGAAAAACTGCGACCTAACAAGGATGCATGAGCAGCAGTGTCCACAGAGGAGTGGAACTAGATCCAAACTCACACACCCATTATTCTCATTTGCTTATAACTGCTGCAGTTGGTGTGCTGCTCCCACCAACCCTGGTCTCACAAGCCAGAAGTGTAAGTCACCTGCCAACCACACCACTCAGTGCTCTCCATGGAATTGTGTTTGACAGTGAAAATCCCCACAGGAAAATACACCAAAATGGGCTGCACTATTTACAGTACGTGAACTCTATCTTAAGATATAACACTGTTTAAAAACAACAACAACAACAACAACAACAAGACTATGTGTTTTTAATCAAGGTTTTCAGTAGAAATAAACCACCCAGTTTTATTTAGTTATGATAAAATTTTACTAACTCAATGTCATTTAACATGTAGTCAAATAGGACTTTAATCTTAAAAAAAAGAAGAAATATATCCATGTTAACAAAAGGTTCAAGTGTTTTCCAATGATCCAACGGTGACTATAATAAGCACCACCATAAATAATAATGAGGGGAGAAAATATGCCCACAGAAATGAAAAATCCCATGGACAGCGGTGATCACAGCTGACAACCAGATGCCCTGTCCCCATCTGACCCAACTCTCCTCTGCTGCTTTGATGTGGTACCCAGAAAAGAAACTAGACACAACCTGTGTACAACTGCACTCCTGTTCCCACAATGCTTTTCCAAATAGTCCCTCGAACTGCAGCTGTCTTTCCCCCCACATCACTCAGTAACCTACTCCCCATGAGAAATGTACCAACACTGTAGTCCCGTTAGCAATCCTATCACTTAGACAAACCATCCCCATGAGATCTGTGTTTCCGCATTTTATATGAAGTATCTCCCTTCACCAAAGGCAAAAGTCAAAGCAAGGGCGCTGCCATGGCAGAAAATTCCAAAAGATACTTCCCTCTGTGCCTCCAATTCACATAGTCACCAGCCTGAACCCCCAAATTCCTGATAGCCTGTTGTCCTCTTGCAAAAGTTAAAGACGGATTAGGGTAACTGCATTCTTCCAACTATCACCACTGGGCTATCGCAGAGGGGAACATTGACACCTTGTTGACACTCCAAAGGACCTTAACTTGCAATAATCTCATTATAATGATAAAGAATACATCAGCCAGGACAGATCCCACCATGCCCAAATTAAGGAAGAAAAGAGGAGGTGGCACCCTGATTCCTAAAAACCTCCCTTTTCATGAAAAACTCTGATGACAGCATTCACCACACGGGCTTCACTCCCCTTCCAGAAAAAACCCAGATCCCAGAGCTGCACAGGGAGAAGGTGCTTTAGAGAGAGCGCCCCTGCTCCATCCACTGGCCACAGAGTGGAATTTCCTGCCTGCTCTCAGAACCCGCAAGTTATTTATAAACAGTCCTGGGTAGGAACAAGAATCCGTACTGGGTGACACCAACCCAGTGACTCCTTACCACTCTCAACCATATCCTGGAAAAATGACAGAAAGCATGGGTGGGGGTTTCTAGGTTTTTATTTCTTGTCACACCATAAAAACTTTTCCATTTTTACGAGCACGAGCAGGGCAGATGACTTGTCCCCTGGGCCAATTTCACCCCTCGGGGTTGGGGAGTCCTTAGTTTAAGCAGAGCTGAGGCTGGCAGCATGTGGGCCAGGGTTCACTGCACCCCCAAACAGCCTGGCTACTCATCTTTCCCCTGTCACACCCTCCCAAGTCCTGGATTACCTTGGCAGCCCTCCTTTATCTGCAGTGTCCCTTCCTGAGGTTTCAGGTACCCACACTCTAAAAACATGAACAACTGCCCCGACTCTCTCAGGAGGGAGAAGCTGCACCCACGTAACTTTTATTATAGTAAATTACACTTTATGTTATTTGTTTTAATGTATTATTTGTTATTGTTAATCTCTTATTGTGCCTACTTTACAAATTAAACTTAACCGCAGATATGTACGTGTAGGAAAAACAGCATATAGAGGGTTTAGTATGTCCACTGGGGATCTTGGAATGAGTTTCCCACCAATAAGGGGAGACTGCCGCACCTTTAGCATCCAGTGGACATCTGAGAACCCCCTAGGGTTCTCTTCCCAGTTCAGAGTCTCAGGTATCCCTTCCTCATTAGACACGTGGCTGACCCTCTGAGATTTAGCTGGGTGGTCCCAAGTTGAACATGGACAAGGCCATTTCCCCACTGGAAACTCTGCTCCCTGATTCAAGGTACAAACTTTCAGGTATAGCCCAAGGAACTGAGTCCAAATGAATGTAACCTGTTTACTGTCAATTACATGTTGTTTGAATAAAGAACAAAAAGTACCATGGGATTACAATTGATAATACATATAAATATTAAGGTTTTTTTTAAAAAAATCATTTATTTATTTTTGGTACCAGGGATTAAACCTGGTGTGCTTAACCACTGAGCCACATCCCCAGCCCATTGATTGATTGATTAAGAAAAGGTCTTACTAAGTTGCTGAGGGCCTCCCTAAGTGGCTCAGGCTGGCTTTGAACTTGTCATCCTCCTGCCTCAGCCTCCTGAGCTGCTGAGACTACAGGCGTGTGCCACGGTGGCTGGCTTAAGGGGTTTTAATTACAAGATTCTTAAATTTCTGCTTGGAAAGAATTAATTTAAAAAGATGTCATAAAGTTTGAGAACTGTATTTGATTAAAATGATACCCCCAAAGTATCCTTGGAAGGAAGTACGGAATGCAAGGCTTCACTTTTAAATCTGCTGTCCATCCCCATTGCTGCGGCCCAACTTCTAATTTAGGTCAAAACCCATCAGGACTTTCTCATCGTGGCTCAACCAGGATGCGGCACGAGGGGGGGGGGGCTGAGGCAGTGCTCAGCCCTGCTCCTCCACTGGGGGTTAGATGGAGACCCCGTCACTCACTCACAAGCACAGAACCTGCAAGCACCCAGGAAGGCGGTCTCCGTGGGAGCCCCAGAACCGCTCGGCAAGCCAGGCCTCCTGGCTCTGGGGCAAGAACTGAGGCCTCTGGCAAGAGGAAGATGGTGAGGGTGTCTCAGTAGGAAAGCACAGGCCGCTCTCCACTGGAGGACTGTCATCCGTCACCCTGGAAACCAAAGAGCACTAGAGGCGTTTGAGAGCCTAAAACTGCTAGAGAGGAGCCGAGCTGCTCCACCAGGAGGAGGAAGATGACCCAGCCCACAGAGAGCCAGCACAATGGCAGGAGGAAATGGGCCACTTAACTGAGGCCAGCGCAAAGCTCAGTGTTTATAAGATCTCTTTCCTCCTGTGGAAGATGAAAAGAAAGTACAAGGAGGGGGGGGCAGACTCTTCAGGACACTGTCAACTCCAGCGACCCAGCATTCAAGCTTCCCGTTATGCAACCACCAAAGCAGTTTCTGCTTCCACAGGAGCTGAGTTCTAAAAGTGTTCTCTGGCCGATTTAACACATCCCACAGATTTAAAAGGGGCCAGAGTGGCCTAAAATCTTACAGCCTTTATTTAAGCACTTTTTGGGGACAAACACCAGAGCACTGATGCCATGATTTTGGAGCCCATGATACATCCAGTGGTAGTTTCTATAATTCTCTATCACCTTTTTTTTTTTTTAATCTCTTTTTGAACAAACTTCAAAGAAGAAACAACTACCAAGGATGAAGACTTATTTGTGCAAGTCAGACATACCCATTGTCAAAGTTAACTTCATTAAGTGACACAGACTGTAATACTCAACAGACTGATGTTAACAATAAGCTATTAAAAGGTCTAATTGGGTTTTGTTAAATTCTCCCTCGCCATGAACCACTACATTTTCTCTTTGAGGTAGAATTTACTCTAGGAATTGGTCTTGAAACAGGCCAGTTAATGTTCAACTGTTCACACATTCCTTGAGCCAATCTTTCTCTATCCACCTCCTTCTCAAATCAGCAGAAGTAAAGCCCAAAACACTGAAAGCTTTATAGAAGGAGGCAGGTTGAACACCCTTCCAAGCTGCTTGCCGATCCATCACTCAGCCTTCCCAGTTTCCGGTCCTGAGGTCAGGATAGGGGAGGCTTTGTGCATCTAACACAAAATACGCTTAAAATCTCAACAACCAAAAGAACAGGACACTTCCATTGACAACTAGTAAAATAACACCAATTTTAAAAGCAGCCTTTCTGCTCTTTAATTATGAAAGAACAGATAAATGTAAATTCAACTGCATGCTAACTGCTGACTCCCCACCCTCTCCAAACTGCTATAATATATCTTCTTTGTCAACAGGAGGGGCCTTAGAGCCAAAGCATAGAACACGGGGGAATGGGACATTCAGATTGGAAAACAAATCCACGGAACAGTCGTACCTTAAACAAGGCTAGAAAGAATTGAAACAGCAAAAGGCGCTCACCAGACGAAGTGTCCGATACACGGAGTCACCAGACTTGTCACTGTCTTCGATCCTGGGCTTGCGCTTCACTTTCCACAGAGCAGACAGCATCAGGGATAGATTCTCATGGTAATTAACTCGACCACCCCGTGTGTTTAGCAGGGAAACAGAAGTTTCTTAAAATACACAGAAAGCACCGAATGCATTACAGCGCCCTGGAGAGCATCCTCTCACGAGGCTATCCCAGACTGGTTCTGCCGTGAAAACCTGAGGATGGGGACTGGGACAGCAACCCCCACGCGGCACCTGCTCCCCATCCTGCCTTCTGGGAGGCTGTCAAAGGCTGACTGGTGACCGAGAAGTCATGCTTTGATTTCTACTGGCGAGACAACAAAGGTCCAGATAGGGACAGCCAAAACAGACGTGAGAACAAAGCACAGAAGCCTCCCCAGGACGCGAGCGCCTCTACCCTGCAGCCGGAGATGAGCTGATTGGCCAGCATCCTGCGCTGCACGAAGATATTAAACCTGCCCAGCTCGGACGTGGTCAGTAGCAGGCAGGACACTGGAAATGACTTTCCTTAACAGTGCAGGCTTCACAGTGGGTGCTCATGCCTGGTTGTGAGAGCCAGACATTTCAGAGATAAGAGCAATGTGAATTTAAAAGAAAAAAGAAGTCGTTCTGAATGGGAATGTCCTGAAAACAATTCCAATACATTTCCTACTTGGAGAGCAAGGTCACAGCTTCTGGGGCCTGGAATGCATGACCCAGGATTCCCAGGACCTGAGATGAGGAGCACTCAGCTCCAGAAACCAGGGTTTTCCATTAGAAACGGGGACAGGACAATGAGCAGCCAGTGGCTAGAGGCATTGGAGGCTGTCACCCACAGTCACCAGATGAAAGGCCACCAGACTGCCCTGCCTTGTGACAGCCCCACCCTCAGCCTGTGGCAGTGACATTCCAGTGCCACCACCTCTGGACAACAAGCACACAATTATCTACTTGCTCAACTCCAAAAGGTCACGTGTAGCAAAAACTGCTACTCCAGAAACTTGAGAACCATGCAGAACTCCAACACGCTTTCTCTTTATCCTGCCCAAGGCTGTGAAAAAGATGTTGTGTCTGCTGAGAACTAAAAAATAAATATTAAAAAAAAAAATTCTCTCTCTTTCTCTCTCTCTCTCTCCTCTCTCACTCTCTCTTTAAAAAAAAAAAAAAAAAAAAGCAGCCCACTGACAAGATAAGCAAAAATATTAAACCACCACCAAGTAACAGCCTGATATAGTCAGCCAGGATAAAAACTGATGATGCGTTCCTAGTTATTTAATTATATCTCTGCACCCTACAAATGCAAGATACAACTGAAAAATGACTTTGCAGTCTATTCTCAGAAAAAAAAATCCCATGTTATATAGGAGATGCCTCAAAAACATTTAACCTTAAACAAGAGACTTAGGACCTCTGCTTGCTCTAATTTTAAAGCATGAAAAAAAGACATCCAGAGATATTAAGTGGTTCATGGCTATGTACCCAACTGACTTCAAGCACCACTAATTAATTAATCCTGTCTTTAATGAAGCCTGTATTTAATACCAGACCTTAACAATCAGGCCAGAAGTGAGTTTTAACCATTAATAATACAAGACCTGGAGCCAAATTGGGTCGTCGTATCCTGTTTTGCCAGCACAAAGCTGTGTGACTCTTAGCAAGTCATTTAACCTCTCTGCTCTAGTATTCTCTGCAAAACAGGAAAAATAGAGTATGACTCTTAGGTAATGTTGAGAGGATGAGTTAATAGGGAATAGAGTTTCATGTATACAAAATGTTAAATTAGCATGACTTCTCATTTATTATTAATAATATGCAGTAGGACCTGGGCACCGAGATCTGCTGGTACAATAGAAAGATTTTTGCTTTCAAATATTCTAAATGAGACTGAAAAGGCTGTTTTAGTTAACAAAGCAGAGAGGAATGGGAAGAGATGGTTTCAAAACATCCAGCCGTCCCCCTCCCCAGAACTTGTTGCCAATAGTTTTGAGGAAATTCTCTTTTTCAGAAAGCCCATTGTGAGATTTGACAGAGAAACCTGGGAATAGCCCTGTCCCTGCTTTGGACCCCCTGCTCCCATAGGGACCATGCCGTCAGAGACACACGGGGCCAGGCTTCAAAGCCTGGAGCCTCTTCCTTCCTCTGCACTGCTAGAAGCTTCTATTACAGAAGACTCTGTTTGAGATTTCATGACTCACTATATTTAAAATGGAAACAATTTCTCAAAATCCACAGGGGAATGAGAACACTGAGCTATTACAGTGAGGTAAAATGATCCAAGTTAAAAAGTACTCAAAAATAAATGTTTAGGAAAAAGAGGTGTTTTCCAAAGTGCAATTAGAAATTGAAAATAGCATATTTAGGGCTGGGAATATAGCTCAGACAAACAGTGCTTATCTAGTAAGCATAAGGCAAAAATGTGTGTGTGTGTGTGTGTGTGTGTGTGTTTATTTACTTATTTTAGTTCCTCTAATAAAATAATGTAATACCCTTCAAAATATATCAGTATAGAAACATCTGTCTTTCTTAAGGGCAACTAGATTCCTCCATACCACCTCCCCCAAAGTGGATAAAATTAATTAAATTTAAAAATTAAATAAATTAATTGAAATTAAGAGCCACATAAATTAAAAAGTTATTTTAGCAGTTTTGTTTTCTGGCTATAAATGAAATGTGTCTCTCTATTAATCTGCTTTTTAGTTATAACCAACAACATAATGACTTTTAGTCCATAAATATTAACATTACATTTAAATATTTAATTTTATACTGTGCCCAACTTAAAAAAAAAAATCCAGAAATGACTATCGTACCATGGTGAAAGGGAAATAAATATGGGTACAAGAGATATTGAAGACAGTAAAAAAAAAAAAAAGTCATATAAATATAGAGGGAGGAAAAAACAGGAAATGGAGGTTTTAAAAATAGCTCATATTTGAATAGCATATTTCCATGATCAATGATGTGCTTTCCCATAGCGAGAATATTCGACCCACTCAATAATCCAATTGTGGTTTAAGAAGCACCCTGATTCGGCAGATGAGAAAAAAAAGGGTGTAATTTAAATGGATGTGATTTATTCAGGTTAAGTGGCTGATAAGTGTCATGCCGAAGAATGAGAAACTGGTAGAGTCATCAACATAAACACACCAACAACATTATGTAAAAAGAAGAATTATGGAAACAACCACATACATTGCTTTATGGCGGCGGGGCGGAGGGTGGTGGTGCTTTGTGCATAAGTAACATGGGTTTTACTTCTTGCAAGTATCAGAAGAAAAGCTCTTTCTCACAGAACTCAACCAAAGAATAAACTATTTAATTTTTGTTAAAAAAAAAAAAAGTTTGTTTCTTTTCAATGTAAAGATGTTCAGCTTTAACAAGAGATAAATGCAGATCATTCAACTGGAGCTCAATACAGGAACCCAAGTAGCAGGACAGTAGAGCTGGCTCAGTCACACACATGGGAGATGCTGTTGCATCCTACCTAGATGAAGCTGTAGGAAGGAACCTGGATGAAGTGGCAGCGTCACCCAGGAGCTCTGGCAGTGGCAGAAATTAAAGAAAAAGGCCTTCATTTCATACAAGTGATTTCTGCCCTACGTCCCTAAGGCTGTCATTTGGATTTCACATCCTGCTATTTAGCAACCTCTCGGAAGCAGAAACACTTTGTCCCGTGGAGAGGCCACTGAACCACCCACAGCGGCAGAGGTGGTGTGTCAGCTGTGACTCTCTGGTGGTTCGAAACACGGACGTGCAAATGAAAACCTCTCACCTTGCTGCTGTGATCAGTCTCATCAGAGGATTCCAGGTCTGGCCCTTCAGTCTCTTCCGGCGCGGTCTCGGCACTACTGCCCTGCTCGCTGCAGAGGCTGTGCCCTGTTGGGGGAAATCAGAAGACAACATGGGTCAACATGTATGGCCACTGCTGACAGCCACTCCTGTGTGCCGGCCAAGGGAGCCAAGCTCCCAAGGGGGCACTGTTAGATGTTCAAGTACAAGCCACGATCTTGGCTCAATAAGTGGTAGGTCAGTAACTGCTACTGTTATTTCATATTACACCTGTATGATTCATACTGTGTGTTTGATAATACAGAATGGTTGCTACAGAGTGACTATCTGTGCCCCTCCCATCTCATGTTGAAGCCTCAACCTCCAATGCTACTGTGATGGTCCTTGGAGGTGGGGAAGAAATGAAGTTCAGATTAGATCTCGAGGGATGGAGTCCCCACGATGGGGTTGGGGTTAGTCCTTATGGAGAGGAAAATGGACTGGCCCTGATCCACACCCAGGGACTCCCCAGCCTATAAAACTGTGAGGAATGAATGACTTGTTTGGCCACTCAGTCTGTGGTGTTATAAAGAGCCTGAGCTAAGACAATAACATCATTTATAAGACTATGTATTGATGCTATCTTAAATTGATTTTGAATCAATAAATTAATTGATAGATTGATTCATTATTTGCTAAAATAATCAAATAAACCATACCAAAAACGACTGTGTTACATCCATTACCTGAGAGGCCCTACACTGCCTGTTTCTGCCAAGTCTGGAAAATTGTAAACTTCTTATGACACCCACTCTCTCACCATCTTCTGTGTAAAAGTGCAGGAGATTTTGTTCCTTTCCTATTTCTTGAGTTTCTACTGTACTGTTGCTACAGTGGGAAGAGAATATAAGTCACTGTCCTCTGAAGGCTTCTCAAATGTACAGAGTCTCTCGATTCCCCGGGGGACCATGTTAAATGCAGGTTATTCAAAACCTGTGGGTTGGGGCCTTAGATTTCGCATTTCTTCCAAGCTCTGGATGATACTAATCAAGACCACAGGTCCATGGGCACACCTGGAGTAGAGGGACGAACATTGGAACACCTTCTCTAGTGGAATCTGAAAACACAGTGACCTGAGGACCACTATCTTAGCACATCAGAGGCACTGGATCAGGGACCAAAGCACTCTCACGATTGTCAGGCAAGACAGAAGGAAGGAGAGGAAATGGGAGTGGAGGAGCCTCCTCTGATGCTCTGGATGACAGCTTCCCTCTGTCTGTGGTGTGGCTGTGGTCTGACCATCCCCTCCATCCTCCCTCCATCCCCCCTCCATCCCCCCTCCACTTGGCAAATGCTCATGTGTTAGATAATTCCCAGAGGGGCAGAGTTGATGTCGCAGAACCTTTAAGACATAAGGCCCATTGCAAGGTGATGAGGTCACTGCCCAAGGAAGGGATTGATGCTCGTCTTTAGGAGTGAGTGAGTTCTTGCAAGAGCAAGTTGTTATAAGAAGAGCAAGACTGGTCCCTGGATCTCTCTGGCTTCCTGTCTCACTATATCATCTCTTCATATGCATGCCATTGCAAAGCCATCTGCCATGAAGTCCTCATCAGAGGCTGAAGAGATGGGGCTGCCTGGTCTTGAACTTTCAGCCTCCAAAACTGTGAGCTAAATAAACCTCTTTATTAAGTACAAAGCCTTAGGCATTTTGTTATAGTAACAGAAAACAGACTAATAGGGTATGCAAAGTGGCTGCCTTACTCCAATGACACCATTAGAGCCATAGTTGTGTGGCGTCATTTCTGTTAAGATTCCAAGCTGGCCAAGAAAGTTAGGGAGGTAGTGGACCTCCAAGCAAACCTTCACCAAATCTATCTCTTGTGGGCACCTCCCGCTTCCCTGAAATGAAGCACCAATTACAGCATGCACCTTCTGTGGTTAAGGAGGTTTCTATTTCCCTGCTTGTTGCTCTGTGCTTGGGTTTTCTGGCATGTCTTTTCACTATACTCAATCTACAACAAGGAGGTAGGGCCAAGAAACAGGATCAGGATCAGCTAATGTGGCAGACATCACCCATGTCACGTCATCCCCTCCATCAGAAACAAAAGTGATAGAATACTTTATATAGGAGCAATGACCTGCATGCTGGGACCAGAAAGAAGATGGGGAGGTTGTTCCTCGATGTGGAAGAGCTGACAAGCTCATTTAGGGACAGTGTTAACAGAGCTCAGCTCTCTAATGGCAGGAGCGTGCCAGGCTGCTCAGGGAATGGGCCCCTCATCTCACTGTAGTCTGCAGAAGAGTTCCTAGACTGTGTAGCCAACTGCTGTGACTCTACAGACCCCTGTTGCTTAACACTATGCCAGCGGTGCAGCGAATGCTCATCAATTTGTGAGAAAAAAAGGTTTTTATTTTAGTAATATTATGGGCCAGGCATCCTGAAAAGCAAATAAAACCTACTTCTGCAAAGTATTTGGAAATGTCAAATGAGAGATAACAAATACGCTTTTACGTCTCAGAAGTTCTGATAGATCCACCAAGCCCAAGCGCTAGAGCAATATTTTCCAGAGGAGACGGGAACGTGTTGGCGTCATCAGTGAAACTTCTTTTAGGAAAAACTGTGTACTTGGCAGGTGCACCTGGCACTAGGATCCCTGGCTTCTGGTCACCAGACACCATTAGGATTCCCAATCAGAGTTCAGTGACACATGCACCCGTGTACTTTGCAACAGAAGCATCCCTTGGCTAAAGCCCTAAAACCCTGGAGCCTTGGATTTTTAACTTCACGCATGAGACAGAAAACAGGTCTCAGGTCAATGCTGCCTGGGGAGTTAGAACTTAATCTTCCAGATCCACGGGGTACCCTTGAAGGGTGCTACAATTGGATCTTGAACCCTACCCCAAAGGCCCATATATTGCAGGTACTACTGGGGGATGATAAAACTCCATCTTTGAGAGGCGCGCTCCAGCGAGAGATCTTCAGGTCACTGGCTGTGTGCCCTGGAAGGGGACTGTAGGGTCCTAGTCCCTCCTTCTTCCTCTCCTTTGCTTCCTGGCCAAGAGGTGGGTGGTTCTGCTCCATCACGGTCATGGAGAGTGGAGCCTTGATGTGCCGCTTCTTCACAGGCCCTAAAGGCACGGGGCCAATCGATCATGGATGGACACCTTAAAACTGGGAGCCAAAATAAGTCTTTCTTCATGAGTTGGTTGTGTCATGGATGAATCACAGCGATGGAAAGCTAAGGCGTTATACCCCTCACTCTGAAAAGATGTCAAATGAAAGCAGGACGGACAGAAGGAAAAGACAAAGAAGTTTCTCCAACTCTGCTTGTACTCTGGGTAAGAGATGGGGGAGCGGGGCAGGTTTCTTCCCTGAGATATAACCACAGGCCTGGCCTCGGGAGTATTTAGGGCTCAAATTTACATGATGTGCCGCATCTTGGAACCCCAAGATGAAAAACCCCCTTAAAGTCCTTCTGGGTTTGCATTCCAAGGGCAAGTGGCAGAAGCAAAGACCAGTCAACTCTGGAAGGCTCCTCTCTCCATGATGTCATCATAGAGAAAGGCTGATCAAGCAGAAGCCTTAACCCAGTGTGACCAAACACAGGAGGAACAGTCCCTGTGAGCCAGACGGAGGCGCAGACACAAAGAACACCGGAAGCAAGACCCCAAGGATGACACCATGGGTATCAGATGCAGGATGTCACATAAGTAGGCCGAAATCATTAAAAAGCAACAAGAGGTGCTTTCAAAGGAGAAAAGGGTAAATTAAGCATTTCTAGAAACAGGAGCTGTTGCTACTGGAATCAGTGGATAAGAATATAAATTGAAGAAAAGACAGAAGACTGGGAGATCTCTGAAGGCATTTCCTTACTGCAGGGACTGTCACAGCTCTCCTCGTAGGACTGCAATTCCAGCTAAAACGCTATTCACAGGGGCTGGGCGGGTAGCTCAGCAGCAGAGTGCTGGCTCCTATGGGCAAGGTCACGGGCCCAGTCCCTTGCACACACACTCCCAAAAACAAATCACCAGACTACTCAAGAAAGGACTATAATAAGGACTTTGGAGAAACAAAGGGTGAGAGAGAATACAACAGACCGAACTCACTAAAACCAATTCTCTAAAAGATGTGTTTTAGGAAGACTAAAATTAAAAAAAATTATATAATCCTGGAAAAAATAGTAAACAAGCTGAAAAGGTAAAAAGAGGATAAAGACAGGAGTGAATCCTAGAACACAATAAGACTCCGGCCTCTCAAAAAGGCTTTTGGGGGTGAGAAAAAAATAAATAAAAAGATGCAGCCAGGACGATGGTCAGAAGTGGTTATATTTAAAGCACTTCATGGTGATTTTATGCTTCAGGAGGGAAGTAGAAAGGCTAGCTTTGGTTTCTGCTAGATTAATAACCATGCACAAATGCTAAGAGCAACCATAAAAGAGTAGAAGCAGATCATATAAATTGAAAAGTGAAATTTAAAAATGCAACCGGGAAGAGGGCAAGAAATGGAAGGATACATACGCAGGGCAAATAGAATAAAAAAAAGATCATAGATAGAAGTCCAAACGCACAGATCTTTTAAGTAATTGTAGAACACACTAAACCTAATTCTTCAGCTTCACTGACATGCACAACAACCAAAAAACAAAGCTCTTTATGTTCAGTTCCACTTCTTGCATGTAACGTGAAGCTTTGCTCCAGCTTCACGTTACATGCAAGAAGTGGAACTGAACATAAAGAGAAGATTAAAAGGATGGGAAAACGTATTAGGCAAATGTAAAGAAAGTTCTGTACATGCCAGATCCAAGATTGAGTGACACTAAAGAGGATGTAAACATAGAAAATTTTATGCTTGACCCATGAATGTAGTTCAAGCCCTATTCCCAAAGATGATGAATACACATTTTTCCAAGGATTTACAACTTTAATATAAACAGTTCATCTAGGATGTCACAAAATCAAGTCTTAACCAATACCAAGGAGTCTCTATTCATGTAGACCAGCCCAGGGGCAGTTTTCCTAAAATTAAACTTTTTACAAAAGAACAAAAGACCAAAAACACCAAAGACAGTTTTAGAGAAGAAAAGCAAGATTGGGTATTTTTCCTACCA